CCCTGCTTCAAGGCCCGGGCCTCGCCCCCCCCCCCCAAGCTCTGGACTGCCTGTTCTTCTGGGAGGTGTTGAATGGCTGGCATGGGCTCTGGTACTCCTGAGGCCTCTGTGGCACTGGGCAGCACATCTATGGGATACCAACCACTGACCCCTTATATGTCACCCTCCCCTGTTGCCCTCCTGCACTCTTAGCTTCACTTCGGGCTGCCCCTTCCACTCTACCTTGGAATAGGACAGGACTAAGGCTTGGTGGGTGCCTAGGTTCACAGGGCCTCCTGTTCATCCCTCAGGGTGGACTCTGCTCTGAGGGCCATCATTGCTGATTGACCTTGGTGGGGAAACTGGGCTAGGAGCCCTGGTCACCCTTGGGGCACTGCCTTGGGTTCCCCTGTGCCCTGCTACCTCAAGGTCCTGGCAAGGCTCCAATGGAAAGAGGGCCCTACCCAGCAGAGTGGTCCAACCAGCAGGACTGTTTCTCCGCAGGCTGAACTCCACAGAGTATGGCGAGCTGTGTGAGAAGCTCCGGGCACCCATCCGCAGCGCAGCCAACGTGGTCATCCACCAGAGCCTGAGTGACATGTTCTTGGAGACTTTTGCCTCCCTGGTAGAGGTCAACCCAGCCTACTCAGTGCCCAGTAGCCAGGTGGGGGACTAGACCAGGGACGGGTGGGTTCCCATGGACTGTCCCCCTGAACTCTCTGTGACTCCCTCTGCCCCTGCCCCACAGGAGCTGGAGGCATGCATTGGCTGTATGCAGACACGTGCCAGCGTGAAGCTGGTGAAGACCTGTCAGGAGGCAGCCGTGGGCGAATGCCAACAATGCTACTGCCGCCCCATGTGGTGTCTCACTTGCATGGGCAAGTGGTTTGCCAGCCGCCAAGACCCCCAGCGACCTGACACCTGGCTGGCCAGCCGTGTGCCCTGCCCCACCTGCCGTGCCCGCTTCTGCATCCTGGACGTTTGCACGGTGCGCTGAGCCTGCAGGGTGGGGCCTTGGGGGTCCCAGCCTGGCTCTGCTCCCCACTCCCTGCCCCTGCCTCCTGCAGAGGTGCCTAAGCCTCCTGGGCCTTAGCAAAGGGCTCTATTCAAAGCACATGATCTGCAGTGACTTGCTTTTACCCTGAGTCTGGAGAAGGTGAGGACTTTGGCTTAAAAGGAATTCTCATGAAACGCACCATTCCTTATTCCCCATAGCAGCAGTGGGATGGGGTCTTTAGCACCTCTTCCCTCCTTCCCTCTGCCTTCCTCTAGGTAGGGGCAAGTACTTGACACAGAAAACAAGGCATTGGGCCTATATCCAGAGCATTCCAGGCCTTATTTATTCCCTGGGAGACTGAATCATAACAGCAAGAGCTCTTTCCAGACTCAAGCCTGCCCGTGCAGGCTGGGCCACTTGCCTTAATTTAAGGAAGCACACTTGTCCCTCAGCTACATGCCAGACCCAGACTCATCCAAGACTGGTCATGGTACATTCTTTTGCCCTGTCCTAGAGCTGACCACTGGCCTTATGGGGTTGGGCCCTACTCATAGGCCATGGGCTGCTTGGAGAACCCTGGGCAGAGTCTGGTAAAGGAGAGGAGAATGGGGGGTGCTATTCCAGTGTGAGAGTGGTGGCTGCGATTAGTCAAGGGGCTGCTTCTGGGTAGGATGGCAGTAGCAGCACCGTGAGGACAAGCTAGAGTGTCCTCCACTCCTTTATCGGGGCCACCTCACCCCCTGGAGGGGCACTTGATCTGTCCTTGTTACCTTCTCTCACAAGTCCAGAGAAGACTGAAGCCTCAGACGCCTGACTCAAGGTTGGGGTTGGGGCTTGAACTGAGGACCAGATGCCACAGTGGCATTCCAGAAAAAAGGCCCAAAGGGGAAGCAGCACAGGCTGGCCACTGCCCCCAGGTCTGCCTGGTTTAAGCTCTGGGCCTTGATGGGCATTTTGCCCAATTCTTGTGTGCAGGTGGGAAGGGAAGACAGTGGCTGGGCCCCAAGGTGCACTTGATACAGGCATGGCTGCCAGAGGGAGCCACCCTCACACTAGTGGCCCTAAAGCCCCTAATCCTGGCTGTTTCAGGCAGGGGTGATAGACTTTACCTGCCTGACTCACCCAAAGCTGCACCTAACCCCAGAGTATTAGGAGCAAAGAAGGCTGGTTTGTCAGGCTCCCTGGGGTGCTCAGAGCCAACGGCAGATGAAGTTGGGGATCAGGAGCCAACCCAGCCTGGGTCCGGAGTGTTAAGGGCTGCGTGCTTTGGTGTTATTTTTACTACAAAAGAAAGTTACTTAGTTTTATAAAGACAAATCCATTGTAGCTATATAATACTGGTATTTAATAAAATGTTAGTCTGAAGTGATATATTTCTTCATCTGATATTAAAAACAAGCTTGTGTAATGGCTGGGGAAGTGGCCTAGGGACACTGCAGAAGAAATAGAATTGTGTCCGTTTCAAATGGGCCTGCCTTGTTCAGAATAGGAAAGACATATTGTTTGGGAGGTGGGTGTTATAGGAACCTTCCTCTCTGATTTCTAGTTGAGAGGGGCCTAGGGAGTGAGGGTGAAGTGTCTCAAAAACCCTGCCCTTCTCCAGGGCCACCTGCAGGAGCAGCATGGAACAGCTACATAGTGCTGTGCCTAGGTGCCTAGTAAGGGGCAGTCAGGGCTGGCAGGTGGCATGGTGGTTAAGGGTGCTGGACTCCCACATGGTCGACTGCAGTGTGAGACCCAGACCTGGTGGCTTGCTTTCTCACTTTTCACTTTCTTTCTTTTACTCTGTCCCTCTCTGGTCAAATTAAATTAATAATTAAAATTAAAAGGGGGGCAGTAGCCAATCCTTAGAGGCCTCCTGCTGCAACTCATTATGGGGGGGAGGTCACTGTGTGGTAAATTTTAGATGCAGGATCTAATGTGGGGACACTCTTGTGGCCAAAGAGCAAGTGGCCTGTGATCCACTCTCTCACTTGGACTGTCTCTGCTGAATTTGCTGTGGGTCGAGGTGACCCAGGATTGCCAGCTAAGCACCAAGGGCAGTCATGCAGTGCCTGCAGTTAGACAGCTCACTACTAGCCCTCATCCTGATCCAAGAAACTGGCCCTGTTAGCCAGATTCTCTGGGCAGTGTCCTGGAGCTCCTGCCAGCACTGGCCAGTGTTGCCCCGTGTGTATACAAGTGAACTCTCCAGCAGCCAGACTGTAAACATTTGGTACTTTTTCCCTCTTTTAATCCTTGACCCAAAGAAAGTTCTTTGAGAGAGCAGTACATATAACCCTATTGAAAGATAGGAGTGATGGGACTAGCAGTTGGGACTAGTAATGGCAATGTCGCTGGACTCCCATGTAGTTGAGTCCTGGACCCGGTGGCTTAAACTCATGCCGGGCGCGTGTGCATGTGTGCCCAAGATCTTGAGAGGAGAATGGAGGAAAAGGAATAGCAGCGTGGCCATTCCCCCAGGGGGTGATTTCTCGCTCTGTCTCTCTGTCTTTCTGGCGAGCGCACGTGCCCTGTAGCGAAAACGTCTCAAAAAAAAAAAAAAAAGAAAGAAAGATAGGAGTGGTGGGGTCTGCCCTGTGGCCTGGTGGCTAATGGAACTGGATCCCGCATGGCTGACCATGAGGTTCTAGTCTTGGACCAGAGACTTAGGGGACAAGCCTGGTGTGCACGTGTCCATGTGTGTGCACCCTACAGGATGGAGAGATGGCAGAAAAGGGATTGTGGTGTGGTCATGCCCCATTGGGACGTACTTGCACTCTTTTTCTCTCTCTTGCATATACATATGCCCTCTGGCAAATTGAAAAAAAAGGAAAAAGAAAAAATAGGACAGCTGTACTCAGATTTTCTTTGATTCTTTCCAGTGTAAGTCTTTCTCTTCACCTTTATTCTTTCGTACACACTTGTTTCTTTTGCATACAACTATGCACATTGTTTTAACTGATAACAGAAAGGAAAAATATTGGGTTGTCAGAAAAGTCATAATGTGTTTGTGCAGACAGAAAAATACATCATGACTTTTCTGTCAGCTTAGTATTTGTGTGAGTCCTAATATTGCCCTTGGCCCCAGGGGGCTCACAGGAGCTTGAGGACCCTTTGTTTCCGTGCTGAGAGTTATGATGGGGATGCCCAATGCCTGGGGAAGGACAGGAAATACCATCCCCTAGCCTGGGGATGATCTTCCTAAGTTCAAAAGGGAGGCAAAGAAGGCACACACCTAGCTACTGTCCTGAGATCATCAAGCACAAAAATCCCAGCCCTCCAAGGGGTGAGGAGGGGGAGGAGGCTCCCAAGACTAACCCTGGGCTTGGCCTCCTTGACCTTTGTCCCCATTGCCTACTGTCTGCTGGTTTTACACTCAGCCCTGCATTCTCTCATCTTGGGCTGAGCAGTTAACTGTGGCAAGTTCCAAGTGCATCTGCACTTTTGGGGAGTCCTATTTGGCAAAGAGCCAAGGTTGTCTGCAGTGATGTAGGATTGGGCTAGGGTGCCTGCAAGCACCTTGCAGGGTCCTCCTCTACCTCCCCACCAGGCAGGGATTGTGCAGTGAGCTTCAGGTGGAGAGTGGGGCCGATGCACTGGGCAGAGGTGTGGTGGTGGTGATGGGAAATCACCCCCCAGGGGTAATGGCGGCAACACCATCCCTCCATTCTCCTCTCAGGATTTGGGGCACGCAAACACACGTGCCTAGCGTTTTCCAGCCTCTGGGTCTGGGACTCCAAACTTGCAGTGGGCCGTATGGGATCTGGCCGCCTTAACCTTCACGCCACCTGCTGGCCCGAGTGTGGTCAATTTCTTAAAGCCACAAATATGGAGCGCTTGTGAGCGTCATACAACGAGGTCACAGCGGAGGTCGCTGCAGACCGGACAGGGAGGGAGGCAAGCAACAACGGCGGCAGAAGGTGTGCCACCTGGTAGCGGGTGTGCGACTAACCAACAAGGCTGTGCCACCGAGGAGACTCATTGTACTGGTCATCTATCGCTGCCTAAAAGATTACTCCAAAACTGAACGACTTAAAACAATAGACCACGAGCCCTGGGATCTGCGGTGGCCACGGCGGTGTCGTAGAAGGTAAACCATGTCAGAAGACCGCGCCTTCCGGATTCCAGGTTCCCGCCAGTACAGAGGCCCGTTTCCACAAAGGCCAAACCAATTGGTGACACACCTCGCCTTGGCCTGGACAAATCGAGAAGCGCCCCACCCTGGCGGGAACCAATAGGACACGGACCGCGTCGCGCGGGTCCGAAATTCCCGCCAGTACCCCTCCCCCACCCGCGAAGGCGTGACCAATCAGCGTCCGAGGGGCCTGGGAAGGCACAACCGTCTCATTGCCACGGAGGGCAATCTATTCCTCGGGCCTTTCCTCAGTCAACTAGGTAGTGGGGAGCCTCTACTTCAGATGGCAGTACTAGACAAACATGTTCCGAAGCTCTCGAGGTCTGGGGCCTCAGCTCAAGTCTGGTCAATCCGTGAGGCGCAAGCAGCCGAGTACGACCCCCCCGCCAGCATGAGCCGAATGGTCTCGCCCGACCACGGCGCGCGCGGGAGCGCGAGGGGGCGGAGCCGACCGCCAGATAAAGGCAGTTGGGGGCGGGGTGAGCACAGATCCTGTCAGCGCCGGCGCGGGTTACGTTGTGTGCTTCTCTCCGTGGCGGCCGAAGCCCGCACCCTCACCGGCCGAGCACACGCTC